GGATGGAATCATTTCAGATTTAAAGAACTTTCAGAAGTTTGGATTCTGAATATGAGCGACTTTTCCTTTAAGGGGAACCAGAGCAGGAAGTTCAAGGCAGTGCAGGCAGGACTTAAACAGGTGACCTACTGACTTTATGTTGTTCACCCTCCCTAAGAAAATAGGCCAGAAAGTACAATTACAGATTTAAGGTGTAGCAGACATACCTGACACTAACCAGAGTCTAAACATAATCAGCTGTCAGTTTTCTAAACCTGAATCAGGGAAACTCTGAGTTTCCCTCATCCTCTGTCTCTGTTACCATAGTAACATTCTCCAACAGTTAACTGGTCATCAGCAGGTTTAGTTCAGTTAACCCAGAGTGTCCTCTGTCACCTTACAGCCAATCACATTGTTTTATTTCCTCATTTTAATCAGGAGATTTTTGTCGTAGTTTAGAGCGAACAATGAAAAAAAATGATTCACTAGCTTCGTTAGAGACATTAGGTGTTAAAAGGCAACGATAGGCTGTCCTTTAGACGAGGATCCAATCAAAGGATGGGCGACATTAATTCACAGGGAATGAAGTATTTCATAGGAGAGGATTCTCAGAGCGCGTCTAGATGTCCTTTACATTCAGGAGGTTGTGTTTCTCAGTGCTACCTCATCCATCGGACATCCAGACCTGATCCGTCCTCATTAGCAGCGTTCCAGACTTCTTCAACAGAACTGGATTATATCAGGGAGAGAACAGTGATGGCCGACAACAGCATCATAGAAAACACCTGCACAGACACTGAATGTTTACTGGAAGAGGAGGAACCCATGAGATGAAGAACAGGTCCTTCCTGTTAGAACAACCATTCTAGACTTCATCTCCACCTGCTGACTGATCTCACCTAAATAGATCCGCTACCATTCAAGCAGGAAACTGGTTTATCTGTAATGTTATGGTGATTAGATCAGGTTACGGCAGGCTGTGTGGATATTTATTAGTTTGTCAGAATATGTTTGATATCTGAAATAAATTTTTTCTTTAATTAAATGACCATTCAAACAAAAACGACACCCTTCACATCTAGAATAAACATTCTGGATGTCTAGAAATTAATTTCAGATCTCCATATTCCTATTATTACTGGTCAGCGTTTGCATTATTTTGATTTTGAAGAAATGTATTTTAGATATCATGAATATATTTTCAGTCATGCTGATAAATGTCAAAATGGCCTCCTAAAAAATGTAAACATTTCTAGATATAGAAAACTTAATTCTTGCTAGTATAATTCTCAAATTCAGTTTCTGCTACAAAAATGTAATTTAGAAAACAGATCTTTCTAATTCAGTCTAGGAGTGTGATTTTGATCAGGAAGAATCTTATTTTAGTGATCTACATATGGAACAACAGAGAGGAGAGTGCTTTTAATAAATATAAAAAGACAGCATGAAAAGTCAGCTGAGTACAAAACATAGAGAGGAAAACAAGAAGAAAAGGGACAAGAAGAGAGGGACACAACCTAGAATAGATAATGGATGTCTATTCTATTAACATTTCTCTATAATGGATCTGTTTTATGTGCTGTCTTCTCCATTCAGAGGGGCCCCTGCCTGTCTTTGCCTAGGGCCCCACATTTCCTAAATCAGCCCCTGCCAGAACTTACTGCCTAGAATATAAAAAAACAATAAAGAAATGATAAATAACTATTTTTTGGTAAAAGCTTGTAAACTAAATCAGGAGCTACTGCTGTGCATCATAACCTGACTGAAGCGTCTCCATGCTCCAGGCCCCGTGCAGGAAGGCGTGAACAGCCGCGCCATGAGGGAGATGTTCAGGAGCTACGTGGAAATGCTGGTGAGCACAGCACTCGACCCTGACATGATCCAAGCTCTGGAGGACACCGATGGTAAGTCTCCCAGTGACCAGGACAGGGGGACTCATAGTTCCTCAGCGTCCATCATCAGGACGCTGAGGAACTTCATCCATCTCATTGTTTCATTGGTGAGTTAAACTAGAGGACATATGAATGTTTTTAAGGAATCAGCATCGGTTCAACAACTTTTCATCTATTGCCATTTCAGAGCCATTTCCAAACACGTCATCCTTCCAGAGAATTTGATCACATGATCCAGAGGGATGCTTAAAGCTAGGGGGGACAGCTGCTGTCCTCAGGGGCCGCTTTCCTTTAGGATCCAACCGCCTGAATAAAATGACTGAACTACCTCCTCAGGATGCAGGAGATTCCTCCAGTCCTCATTGTTGGATTCTGCTGTGTTGAACCAAGGACACATCTAGAGCCTCAGGATATCAGCCCTGAGTTTGGTCCTGGAGGATCCAGGAGACGGACGCTCCTGGGTTCAGGAATGTTCTGAGGAAAACCAGCTGATTGCAGCAGATGCCAACTAAATGATCTCAGGTGGAACGTTTCATGGTCAGAGGAGACCCCAATGCTGAGAGTTAGGATGGGTCGGATCAGCTCTGCCCTTAGTGTGGAGGGACAGGGGAAGGCGGAGGAGCACGGCCTCCATGTTCTGCAGCTTCACCTCAGATCTAAGGCTGATAACTTTCAGCAGGTCATGAATGGAGGAAGCTGGCTAACATGGAACTCACATATCCATCCATAATCATCCCAGAAAACATCTGTTTTCATGTTTAGGTCTGTATGTAGAATGTCTAACCTGTGCAGATTAGTTCTGCTGCTCCATGTTAATGACTTCATAGATCCTGGAAGTTGTTGTTAGTCTAGCTTTGCAGAGGTTTGACTGAAAGGTTTCTTCTTCTCTCACGGCTCAGATGAGCTCTACCTTCCTCCCATGAGGAAGATCGACAGCTTGCTGAACGACCAGAAGAAGCTGCTGTTAAGAAGAATCAGCATGAGCGCACAGCATCAGGTACATCCTCACATTCTTCTTCTGTGGTTCTCTTACTTGCTTAGCTGACCCCCCCCCCCCCCTTTCTTCCAGGAGGCTCTGCACACGTATCCCAACATGACAGCCGACCCTCTGGAGTCTGGAGCAGTGTGGGTCCATCTGGGCGGGGAGGGTTACAGCCGTAAGACCCTCAGTCGGGTCAAGAAGAGTGTTGCTAAGCAACAGGTGAGAAGGTGATGCTGGGTTCCAGGTTTATGTCCAACCCTGACAGCAGAAGCTCAGATCGGATCTGTTTATAAATGAATCATGCTTGCATATCTGGATCTTTGGTCTGATTTTAGTTCACATGCAGAATGTTGGCCAATGGAAATAAACCCGAAGTCCTTTATCTGTCTACATCACGCTGAGGTCAGAGCTAACAGCCGGACCTCAGCTATGCTAGTGCAGTTTGGGTCAGATGGTTCTTGTGTTTCCATTGATCTAAAGCGGCAGCATGCAGCAGCATATCACAGCATTCTGGACCGTGGAGCATATCGACCATAGAACTAGATATCACAGCATTCTGGACCATGGAGCATATCGACCATAGAACTAGATATCACAGCATTCTGGACCGTGGAGCATATCGACCATAGAACTAGATATCACAGCATTCTGGACCGTGGAGCATATCGACCATAGAACTAGATATCACA